GTTATCGCTTAACATCAGGTGAACCGCCTGCGCGCTTGCTACCTTCTCACATAAAAAAATCCATTAGTAAATACTTTTTTCAACCTGTGCGAAAAATTTGCTCGCGTCAAATAGTACATACATTAAAATTATTTAGAACGAGGCTGCAAAGCATGCTGAGCAATAAAATACTATACAATAAAGTTGAAACTCAAAGAATATTACAATCAAAAATAGTATTAAGAACAAGGCGTGAAGATGGATCTATCAATATTACCTAATGCTAACGTAAATTTAACACTAATTTATCAATAACTAATATGCTGGCTCAACTGTATAAAAAATCAAATATATTTATTATGCCAAGCACTTTATCATGAATTTGGCTTCATAATCGAAAACTCATAAGAAATGACAATCGCTTTACGATCTAAATTTATAAATGGTAAATCGATTCTCAATTTCCAGTAAGAACTAGTATTTTATTTAAAGAAATACGTATGTGATGACTAAACTATGTGTTTGCGTTGGGACTGTTCATCGCTTTAATATATTATCAATTCAAAAAATATTAAAGATAGATTATGTATTAGAGTATTAGTACCATCTTGCCAACTTGGTTGGAGGGAGAAAAAACGGCTTGTACATAAAATATAGTTAAAATCTCAATCAGCCTATTACAGTCCACTCATGGTCATAGTGACGACTCTGACGACCTAGGGCACGCTACATGGCACAAAATTCCGCTTTCGTCGTCCAGCCACTACCAGCGACCCTTCCCGGTCAAGTTTACCAAGACGTGGTCTCCATTCGAGAACTTGTCTACTCCACCGCTCATCAGTCTTAAAACAGATGTGGCCAGCCAACTGCCACTTCAGCTTGCCGGATAATTTCGTTTCGGATTTTATCCCTTAGTTAAAATACCGAGCATGTCTGTTAAGGTCACTACTGAGATAGATATTTTTATATCCTATTGTTCTTTATATAGATATCTGCATGGAAATGTTGGATCATTCTGCATATTCTACCGCATTTATCACACGGAGCGTTCCGAGGAATTGTTTGGATTGATTCCGGCGGTTGAATTTCACCATCGGACATCGCGCCAAAATCAAAGATTCCATCCACTCCACCTCGATGTCCGGGGTTTCTTAACAGCGCGATTGTCAAGACATTTCCTGCCTTGCACAACTACTCTGTGGAACCAGCTGTCGCCGACGGTCTTTCCGAACCGTTACGACCTGGGAACCTTCAAGAAGAGAGCATACTATTTCCTAAAAGGGCGGCAACGCATTTGTGAGCCGTCGGGTATTGCAGATGTTCATGGACAACGGTAAGAACTCACTATCAGGTGAGTCCCCTGTGCCCATTTTCTCCATTAAAAAAAATTGAAGTGTACGTGTGTATTGGTGCGACAACGAACGGGCGTCGTGCCTGGAGTAGAGCGTTACTTGGAGGATTGGTGCGCACCGAAAGACTCATCGCACCTGTAGTAGTAAGTGAGGATTTGCGCCAATGATATTATATACAATGGTATGACACTAGCACACCGAAATTGAGGCGCTCAAATTACACCAATTGGTGTAATTCTATAGACTGCTATCTCTTTCCGTATCATACGTTCTATATTATCCGTCACTTTCACTTATATATGTCATATAACGTAAAGCGGATCAATTTTCTTAGCCTCGTTTGTGAAGTAATAAAGCGAATATTTGAAACAATCGGCGTCTCTCTCTTATTCCGAACTCCTAGTTGCTGACTATATGCAGTTATCCTCACGATAATTTCCTCCGCCGCTGAGCACGTGATACATCAGCACTTCACATTAATAAGTGAAAAATTTGAAAGTGAAAAACGATTACGAGACCATTTTAAGCCCATTTAACTTTGAAAAACCGCTGGTTAAAAGTAGATTATAATTATAGTAGAGAAAGTAGATTATAATTTCCATATCCAGGACAATTATCTATGGGCCTCAGAAATACTTACCCCGTGTGGGAATTGAACCAATCAACTTGTCATTGATAGCGATAGTATGAAACATATGAAAATGTTTGTGTAAAAAAAGTAAACTAACAGCCTATACACGCCCCACTGCTGGGCACAGGCCTCCTCTGTACGGAAGTTATCAGGGCATATTTAAAAAAATGACATTTTTTACTCTTTTAAGACACGAGATAGCGCCGATCATTGCCATATACAATAAAAACAAAGTGGAGATATTAGGATTTCGACCGCTTAACTTAGTGCCTGGATCGTCTCGGCGCGATACCCTTGACACAGTTAGATTTTGCCACTTTTTGTACAACCAATAATGTCTAGGCTAATTTCGTTGAGAGTTCAACACTATTATAGCTACTAACATCTTAAACAACAATAATCTGTTGCACATTAAAAACTTTTTTATTGAATGCCTGCCAAGTTAGCAATAATCAACTTAATTTTTTTATAATTAAGTGCTTTTTAGGTGATTTCGACGAGTCGATAAAATAAATTAGACACATGTAAATTTCAGGAGAAAATGTAAAACTTGATAGAGTCATCTCTAAAAAACGGTGCAAATGTCAAACGTTATATTTAAGTGCTTTCTTTATGACAGCGTAAATCAATCAAGCGAATAGAACTAAATAGTGTTCTACTATTTGTAGATTAAGAATAGGCCATACTATTACCCCAGTTCACCTGGCTAAACTCAAAATACGTGATAACCCTGTATGTGATTGCGGAACCGAGGATGGTACAGTGGACCATCTATTCTTTAACTGTCCCAAACTAAATATCTCCCTTTATGACGTCCTACCCACTTGTGTTCCTCGTCCCATTTGCATGAAAACCTTATTAAGTATAAGAGATTATCAAATTCCCAAGCTTTTGTCTAAATTTATTTCCCATAACAAATTAAAACTATAATTTTATATCACCACAACTTTATCTGTTTCATGTATGTGTTGTCCTGTATATGACGTCCTTTTATTTCAAGTAAAACATGCTTAAAGCAGTAACCTCCGATAACTAAATTTATATTTTAAAACTGTCATTCCCCTACGTGTAATGGCTAACAACTTGACATTGGCGGAATTGTGATAACTCACAAAGCAAGCCATTATTAAGAAGAAAAAAAAAAAGAACTAAATAGTGAATGGTATGTTATTCGAAAAGCATCAAGATAGCACAGCTAAGTAAAATAAAAACCGGCTAAATGCAACGGACTCGCACACGAAGGGTTCTGTTCCATCATCTATAAGAACGGCATAAAAATCATGTTTTTGTATGGGAGCCCCACCTAATTATTTTTTCATTCTGTTTTTTAGTATTTGTTGTTATAGTGGCAACAGAAATACGTCATCTGTGACAATTTCTATTATCTAACTATAATGGTTCATGATATGCGTTTTACCAGTGGTGGCAGATTTACCGGCAGACTAAGTAGGCTACACAGCCTACGGCGGCAAATTTTTGGGGGGCGGCAAATTTGACCCAAAAATTTTTGTATTCAGACATAAAGAAAAACACCATTGTATAAATAGAGATAATGGGTCTTGAAATTTTAACGTACTGTACATCTAGATTTATATTATTGTCAGTTGTCAATGTTCGGTCAGCAAGGCGGGACAGTATTAAGTGCCCCAAGAAATTAACAATCGCCAACGTAACGTACGCGTCGAGACCTGCTTGGCGCTGCAACAGGCACAGAAATGAAGGAATATTGAACCGAATTTTTGCTTGCGACGCAAAATGGGTTAGACGATCGAAAGCGCTCAGCAAGTTGATCAGATCCTGGCTCAGCACCAAAGCAGGACCGTGCCCTGGACGAAAATTGACCCCTAGAAGTTGATGATCACTGATTGGTGGTCTTGTGTCCTTTATCCGTTTTTTTTACAAAACGCCATGAGCATTACTGCAGACAATGATGGAGAAGCTCATACATCTGTAACCAATTTGTCGTTCAATCTGTCGTCACCGTTGCTCCTACAACGACAACGCGCGACCCCATACTGCATAACAGACAGTCTCTGCTGCAAAAGTTGGGATTGGAAGCTCTCCCTTATCCGCCACACTCACCAGACCTTTCGTTACCAGACCGACCATTATTTTTTCCAAAACTTGGACGACCTTTTAGCAGGAAAAAAATTCTAATCCCTGGAGGCAGTACAAAATAACTTTGAAGAGTTTTTTGCCTCACAAGAAGAAAATCAACAAACTACAACCGTGTTGGCAAAGATACATCGTTTGCATGGGCGATTACTTTGAATAACAGAAATAAATAAAGTTTGAAAAAAATACTTTAACTTATTTCATAAGTTATTACGAAATATATTTTTGTTATTAATTCGAAAATATGCAGGTTTCCTTACGTTGCTTTCCTTTACAGTTGAGCACATGATAAGTTAGCACTTAAAAGTAACAATTTCATTGGTGCTGGCGCCGGGGATCGAACTCAGGTTGCTCGAGTGTATTGAATTAAAGGCGAGCGCCCGGACACTGAGCTATCACGATTCTTTGCTGCTTACTTATTTTACGAAAAACAATAACTTCATAGGTCAACACCTAATATCATGTGGCGCCATCTAACAAAACTTTGAAGTATCGGTAAACCAACATCCAATAGGAACAGCGTAAGTACCTCAACATTCTGTAAGATGGCTCTATATGGAAAAGGCTATAGATTCGTAGTGAAAATGTTTCTTTTTTGCGTGACATTACATATTTAGGACCTTTTCTGAAACTTAACTTAAAAAGCAAAAACCTGAAATAAATTGGAAATTACTGAATGTGAGACCTACTCAAAAAATTTACCGTTATTGACGCTAAAACATTTTTTGATTCTTCAAAATTCGATCAATGTCTTGTATTAAATTGAAAGAAAAAATAATTTTCTAAAGTATACTTCGTTTCACATTTCGTTTACATAATATTTAAAACAACAAAAAATATAAAAAACGTAAATAGTGTTATTAATTATTCTGTACAGGCAGTGCTATTTTGTAATAGGTCGGTATCGGGTATATATTAAATTAGGCTTGAGTCCTCTTGGTGTATTCAACTGGTGGGGGGTGGTCCGCGATGTATTGCAAGCCACGGAGGATCAGCTCAGGTACTGGTGGGGCCACGGGGATGGAGTCACCCTATTGAAAATAGAAAAACATTGTAAAAAGTTAGCTCGAGAATAGGTAGGTATAATTAAACCTATAGAACATTATTGTAATTCAACCAAATGATGCTGTACTAGTTAGTCTATCTAATATAGATTTTAAGACTCCTTATTAAATTAGAACTAATCAACAACGTGTCGTTTAACACGAGTTCGAAGATGTAGCTAAAACTATGTAGAGCTAGCCCGACAACGAAAAATTCAATGGTACATCACTCGGAATCTGGACGATGAAATCGCCAGTTTGATTACCATACCAACACGAAGGCTGTGAAGGGCGTATTACAATTAACGAGAGGAAAATCCAGAATAAAATTAGCAAGAAGAATCTATATGAAATGCCCGAGTTGATAATCTCATCGATCTTATACTACTTGACCCTAAACTTGTTTCTCTTTAACAAACTGATTGTTCATACCTGGGCAACGTAACCGTTCTCGTCGGCTTTGTAGACAAGCGAGACGGGGCTACCGTCGGGGGCGGTCCAACGGAAAGATCCCTTGACGTCAAGGCTGGCAGCTTCCTGTTAACAAATAAAAACATTTAAACTTTGAACATTGCTCAAATAATGAATATCTACTCTATTCCAAATAAATTTATTACTATCTAATCAAGCTTCTTAATACGCGGGGTGAAAAAAGAAAGAATAGAAACAGGGTAGCCCACACAACTCCAAAACGGTAAACAGTAAACTTCTTTACTTTTGGTTTTATAGCCCTTGTAATTAAACATTTTCGTAATATGTTACGTCACTTACGGAGTTGGGGTTCTTAATAGTGCCCTGAGCGTCGGCAGCGATGCTATTCCCGGTTTCATAAGCGTATTGGAATGAACCGTCGGGATTGATTTCGTAGTCCGAACGGAGAATCGGAGCGTTGGCCTCGTCGGTTCTAGCGTATGACGGAGCAACATCGGCGCTGGCCAGCGCGACGGCGGCGAGGAAGACTAGGAATTTCTGGGAGAAAATTATATTAATTGGTAAATTCATAACTACATAATTTTAAGAGTAATTTTCTTTTCTCAAGGATAATTCGTTAATTAAACAAACAATGAACCAACCATTTTGGAGTGGGATAACTAAGCCTGACTAAGTGGCAGTCTGTTTTCAAATGGCGATTTATTTTCCTTATATAGGCAGGTCACGTCCAGAATCGAGAATCGTATTCATTATTATCTTGTTTTTGTGCAAAGTTGTAACGTCACTTTAGATTATACATTTGAAAACTTGTTGCTGAATTATACATAAAGTCAATCTTTTAAATGGCCTTTTGGATCTCAAAATTAATATTATAATGCCAGTTGAATCACAATGTACATCTCACATATTATAAATACTTTTGTTACTTATGATTTGAAATTAGTGATGAAATTGTCAAATTCATTTTTCAATGTCTTTTTGTACCATACAATGAACAGTCAGCAGATATCTCTTGTAGCGTGTATTTTATTTAAGATCCATCTCGAAAATATGAATGCAGTATAAAGTTATTTAAACTGTTATATGTAAAGTTAGCGAAAAAATCTATGTTAACGGTAATAACAATTTGATTTGATTGTTAAATTTTACGATCGTAAAATATAAGAGCTTATAATATTATTATCAGATATGCGATGTTTTTCTCAATTTATTCCAAGAGTATAAGCGAACCCGACCTGACTAGACGGTCAAGGTTATATACCTTGTACTCTATATACTTATATTCTGCTGAACGACGACGTGATAATAATTTGCACTCGTACTTTGTTATAAAGATATACGAGTTGACAACTATCTATTAATTTTTTTATACGTAATGTTACTATCGATAATTAATGCAATTTAGCTATTCAATTTAGAACTTCAAAATATTTTTGACATCATAGGTTATTGTAACAAACATAATCAACAGAGTCATAAGACAAAGAGAGTCACCGTGGCTGCGTAAAATCTGTTATTGGAGATACACTGCATACATTTAAGAGGTTGGGTCTGGTTACCTCACTGACTAGATAAAATGAAAAGGGTTAAATAAAATACGACATATTAATAAATACTTCTTACTTATGTCGATCCAAATCAGGCTGTGGAAATTCCCCTCTGCCATTATAACGCAAACGCTGATGTTATTGTGAAAATCTATATTAATAAAATAAAATAATGCTTTTAAAGATAGTGTACATACTTTGAAAGATAGTGTACATACAGGCGGCCTTATTACTAAGGTAGCAATTTCTTCCAGCAATTTTTCTTTTATAACGACGCCTTAATAGAAAATGACACATTTGAGTCTGTGTTTATTGCATCAATCTTTCTCTCCTCTACAATTGTTACATATTTTAAATTAGACATACACAGATGACACGGGTAATAGATTATGCGCTAATTGTAATGCATTAAAGCAAACATTGGATGAATCCAAAAATGAAAGTATAGAGGAAAAGGTTAAATAACATCATAAAACCGGGCCGTACATTATTTGCCATAACACTGGATGTGATGCCTGAAGTACAAAAAGAGCTAGCTTATAATACTTTCAGACTACCTCAACGTCTTATCATCGTCCCACTAAGAGGGCACACAAAGGATTTATTACTGAGTTGTTTAATTATGCATTGTGGACAGTGAAAATATGGTCAGACCTCTCGTCTATATGAAAAAAACTTTATATTAAATGAGAAAGAAAGTTAAGAGGAAACAGCATGCCTGGGCTGCATGTTATGCATCCTTATTTAATCTTTGGCTCACATCTCGATATCTAATGTGAAAGGAAATTTCTCAGTACAGATAGACGGTGTAGCGATAGCTGCCCAGCTAGAAAAGTTAAGTTAATTTTATCCTTCTACTGAATGTAAAATACCACTAAGAGATCTAACATTATATCAGTAATAACAATATATCGGTAAACTTTAATAACATTAAAGGTTTATAATTTAGGCTTTATTTTAGGACAAATATTCTTATGACGTATAAAATAGTTATAATTATAGTAAAACAGTTATGTTTGGGTGGCTGAATCGTTAGAACCATACTTTGGTTGAAAGACTGTCGTTAACGGAAACTTACAAGGTTGGTGATAGTTATATTTAATATCCTTTGTTTGAAGGAAAGAGGAGATGCAAAAACTTAATAAAGCTGTCTCCTCAAGAAAAGACAAGATTAAAAATAGTTTCTTGCCTTGTGACTAGCGATATTAGACCAGGCATAAAAATACCATAATCTCCGTTAGTGTTATTTAACTTTTCAAAGGCCGTACATTCGAGCGAATCAGCAATCAGCTAATGTCGAAGAAATCGTTGAGTATAAAAATCTAGTAACTGGTAATTCTCACCGTATTGTATGCAGCTTTTTTTTTTTCTTTTTCTTTCATCATCTATCTGAGTAACTGTAAGCTCAGGTAGTCAGTGAGATGCTCCCAAACGTGGTTCATAATATTTAGCAAAAGTTACATGCTTGGCCTTATGGTGTGGCTCAACTGTGCCAGTCTTTTCGTAAGGGGTTTAAAAAGTTATAACAAATCGAAATATTTTTGAGCCCAGTGCCGAAAACATGCCAACACTTCCTGAAATTGTGTAACGTCACATTTCGAAAGTGTGTAACGTCACAATGTCAATTTATAATTATCATTGCATGTAATAGAACAATGTTTGAACTATTAATCAATAAAATTTTGTTATATTTGTCAATATATAAATAAATTTAACAGAAATGTCAAATCATTAAAATTTTTGTATATTTCGTACCATCGTCTGTAACTTCTACAACTCTCCAATGAGTGTTTTTAAAAGTACCGCAAAATTGTATACATCAAAACCCATGGTTTCAAGTAGAGCGCTGAATAAATACTAAAACGACATAAAGTTTTGTGCTGTAAGGAGTATTTTTATGTAAGCATTTTTAAGTAATACAGTTATAATTATTTTTATAAACCCATAAGAGCCGTGATAGCTCAGTGGCTTTTTTAATTCAATATACACGAGCAACCTGAGTTCGATCCGCGGTGCCAGCATGAATGAAATTTTTAATTTTAAGTGCTGATTTTATCACGTGCTCAACGGTGAAGGAAATCATCGTGAGAAAATCTGCATATTTTCGAAATAATAACAAAAAAAAATATTTCGACGATATGTGAAGTTCGCCAATCCGCAGTGGAGCCGCGTGGTGGACTATGCCCTGATACCCTCTGTAAAATTGAAGGCCTTTGCCCAGCAGTGGGATACGTATGGAGGCTTTATGTAGGCTGTTACTTTACTTTACTTTATAAACGCATAAAATCAACACTCACAGTTATAATTTCCAGAGTAGAATTACTCCAAACCGTAACTAATAAATTAACAGATAATCTTAAATTATATTTTGAAATGATAAAACAATAAATAAAAAATATTTAATTTCTTGACGATGATGATTTTTACAATATGATCCTTTTACAAACTTACGTATCGAACTGCAGATGAAATAAACTGAATCATATTTCAGAAAATCTGTTAACGTAAATATATCTACACTAGATATAGGTATTATCTGAATTAATGAGCCCCCAACACGTTACATCATAAATACGTATAAAGAGGTGAATAAAAAATAAATACATATTGAAATGAACAAACCAAATTAATCTCTGCAAATGATAAAACGATGATACAAGTTAAAGAATGATTATTTTTTAATAAAAACAGAAAAATCAAGCAAACAGAAAGAAATAGGTAATAGAACAGACCACGTCAAAAGCAAAAAAGTAAAAAACTACATCAGCTATCAAAATAGCAAAGAGGTCCGCAACATCCTCCCCCTCGTGCAGCCAAGCACAAACTGGTTATGCAAACCAAGGTCAGTCAAGGCCTTAGGTGGAGAGTCTAACCAGCTTTCGCACGGGTCGGCGTAGCATTCCCCCTGCTGTTTCAACGTCCACTACCCTTATCACGCCATCTTTTCCAGGGTACAACTTCGCAACACATCCTCGTGGCCATGTTCCGCGGGGCAAGTTGAAGTCAGCAATAAATAATTACTACGTCACCCTCTTGAAGAGCTGTTGAACTGCGGTTGCCTCTTGACTGCTCACGTGGTTGTAGGGTTGGGAGAACCTCGCGCATCCAACACGACCAAAAATGATCCGCTAGCCTCAATGCTTTCCTCCATTCGGAACGGCTGATCAAATCGTGATCGTTGAAGGTAGTAGGTAGGGTCTGCGCGGACGATGAACCGATTAAGAAATGAAATGGTGTGAGTGTTGTCGGGTCGTCAGGATCTGTAGATACATGAGTTAATGGACGTGAATTGACAATGGCTTCTGCCTCGGCTAGTAAAACGCTCAGGGTTTCTTCTTTTGGAGCTCGTTCGGTTAATGTCGCGTTGAGAGCCACCTTTACTGATCGCACCAAGCGCTCCCAACTTCCTCCAAAATTAGGTGCCGCAGGTGGGGTGAATTTCCAGAGTATTCCTTGAGTGCTTGTAAAATCTTCGACATTTTCTCCGTAGAACTCTCTGAGAATACGATTGGCACCAACAAAGCAGGTTCCGTTGTCCGAGAAAATAGTGTTTGGAGAGCCCCGTCTTGCAATAAATCTCCTAATAGCCATGATAGCAGAGTCAGTCGATAGATTATGTACCATCTCTAGGTGAAGGGCTCTGACAGTTAAACAGGTGAAAAGGGCCACATAACGTTTTTCACGCCTGCGCCCGATAGTGACGATTACGGGGCCGAAGTAGTCCAGGCCCGTAAAAGTAAAGGGCCGTCGATGGTGAGCTAATCTTTCAGGTGGCAGATCTCCTATTTTCGGGTTCACCGGCAAGGACTTTCTAATTCTGCAGAGTAGACACTGTTTTGCTACTGTTCGCACTGTGTTCCTCAGCCTTAATAACCAGAATTTTTGTCTTAATTCGTTCACGACTTGTTCATAATTTGCGTGACCCGCTTTTCGATGATAAAATTGTACCAATAAACGTACAACTGGGTGACGACCGTCAAGGAGGATGGGGAGCGTGTGTCTGGGTCAATGCCTTCTGCGGCTTTAATTCTTCCGGCTAACCGCAGTAATTTGTCCTCTCCCAAAGCGGGTGACAGTTTTCTGAGACGACTGTTCGG